CCGGCACTGGCTCATAAACTGACACTCCCTGCCCTGGTGTCAGGCCTGCTGGAGGGAGGCCCAGCCTAAGGCAGCTACAGACACAAAGCACAGAGGTTTACAACTGTGTGCTCGGTCCACTGCTTCTGACAGTCAGGCACTGCAGCCAGGAAGCAGGAAACAGCTCTTTCTTCCCCACAGGCACCAGCACTGCTGCCCAGTGACCCTTGAACTCGCTTCAGGGATAAACAGCTCCAGAGACTAGAGCTTCTGGGCAATAGAGGGTGCCCCATACAAACATAAAATGTTAAAGGAACCTGGTTCAACCCCAAATCTCACAAACACCAGGAAAGGGGCCAAATGAAACTGAACTCAACAATCTTCCTGAAAGAGAGTTCAAAATAAAAATCATAAACATGCTTGGAGGTACAGAAAAATATTCAAGAACTCAGGGACAAACTTAGAAAGGAGATTCAATCATTAAGAAATTCCATATCTGAAATGAAACATACAATGGAGGGATTTAAAAGCAGATTAGATGTAGTAAAAGAGACAGGAAATGGAATAGAAATTAGAGAAGAGAAATACAAAGAAGCAGAGGCACAGAGAGAGAAAAGGATCTCTAAGAATGAAAGAATATTGAGAGACCTGTGTGACCAATCCAAATGGAACAATATTCACATTATAGGGGTACCAGAAGAAGAAGAGAGAGAAAAAGGGATAGAAAGTATCTTTGAGGAGGTAACTGCTGAAAACTTCCCCAATCTGGGGATAAAAAAAGAAGATCCATCTATATGCTGCCTACAAGAGAATCACTTCAAACCCAAAGACATACACAGACTGAAAGTGAAGAGATAGAAAAAGATAGTTTATGCAACTAATAGGGAGAAAAAGCAGGAGTTGCAGTACTTGTGTCAGACAAAATAGACTTCAAAACAAAGAAAGTCACAAGAGACAAAGAAGGATATTACATAATGATAAAGTGGTCAATCCAACAAGAGAATATAACCATTATAAATATCTATGCACCACAGGATCACCTACACATGTGAAACAAATACTAACAGAATTAAAGGGGGAAATAGAATGCAACACATTCATTTTTGGAGACCTCAACACACCACTCACCCCAAAGGACAGATCAAACAGACAGAAAATAAGTCAGGAGACAGAGGCACTGAACAATGTATTAGAACAGATGCACCTAATGAACATTTACGGAACACTCCATTCAGAAGCAACAGGATACACATTTTTCTCAAGTGCACATGGAACATTTTCAAGAACAGATCATATACTAGGCCACAAAAAGAGCCTCAGCAAATTCAAAAAGATTGAAATTGTACCAAACAGCTTCTCAGATCACAAATTTATGAAACTAGAAATAAATTACACAAAGAAAATGAAAAAGCCCACAAATGCATGGAGGCTTAATAACATGCTCCTAAATAATCAATAGATCAATGACCAAAGAAAAACAGAGATCAAGCAATACATGTAGACAAATGACAATAATTCAACACCACAAAATCTGTGGGATGCAGCAAAGGCCATGCTAAGAAGGAAGTACATTGCAATAAAGGCCTACAAAGGAAAGAAGAATAATCCCAAATGAGCAGTCTAAACTCATAATTAACGAAACTAGAAAAAGAACAATTGAGGCCAAAAGTCAGTAGGAGGGATGTAAAGATTAGAGCAGAAATAAATAAAATCGAGAAGAATAAAAACAGTAGAGTCAATGAAAGCAGGAGCTGGTTCTTTGAGAAAATAAACAAAATAGATAAACCCCTAGCTAGACTTATCAAGAAAAAAACAGACTCTACACACATAAACAGAATCAGAAATGAAAAGGAAAAATCATGATGGACACCACAGAAATACAAAGAATTAGGAGAGAATACTATGAAAAATTATATGCTAACAAACTGGATAACCTAGAAGAAATGGACAACTTTCCAGAAAAATACAACCTTCCAAGGCTGACCCAAGAAGAAACAGAAAATCTGAACAGACAAATTACCAGCAAATAAATTGAACTGGTAATTTTAAAACTACCTAAGAACAAAATCCCTGCACCAGATGGTTTCACTGCTGAATTTTATCAAACATTTAGTGAAGACCTAATACCCGTCCTCCTTAAAGTTCTCTAAAAAGTAGAAGAGGAGGGAATACTCCCAAACTCATTCTACGAGTGAGCATCATTCTAATACCAAAACCAGGCAAAGACACCACAAAAAAAGAAAATTACAGACCAATATCCCTGATGAACATAGATGCAAAAAACGCAATAAAATATTGGCAAACCAAATTCAAAAATACATCAAAAAGATCATCCATTATGATGAAGTAGGATTTATTCCAGGGATGCAAGGATGGTACAACATTTGAAAATCCATCAACATCACACACATCAACAAAGGGAAGAACAAAAACCACAAGATCATCTCCATAGATGCTGAAAAAGCATTTCACAAAATTCAACATCCATTCATGATAAAAACTCTTAACAAAATGAGTACAGAAGGCAAGTGCCTCAACATAATAAAAGCCATATATGACAAACCCACAACCAACAATATACTTAACAGCGAGAAGCTGAAAGCTTTTCCTTCAAGATTGGGAAGAAGACAAGGATTTCTTGTCTCCTTGTCTTCTTGTCTCTCTCCACTTTTATTCAACATTTCAACATAGTACTGGAGGTCCTACCCATAGCAATCAGACAACACAAAGAAATAAAAGGCTTCCAGATCAGCAAGGAAGAAGTTAAACTGTCCCTGTTTCAGATGACATAATATTGTACATAAAAAACCCTAAAGAATCCACTCCAAAACTACTAGATCTAATATCTAAATTCAGCAAAGTTGCAGGATACAAAATTAACACACAGAAATCTGTGGCTTTCCTATACACTAATGATGAACTAGCAGAAAGATGAATCAGGAAAATAATTCCATTCACAATTGCATAAAAAAGAATAAAATATCTAGGAATAAACCTAACCAATGAAGTGAAAGACCTAAACTCTGAAAACTACAAGACATTCATGAGAGAAATTAAAGAAGATACCAATAAATGGAAACACATCCTGTGCTCATGGATAGGAAGAATTAATATTGTCAAAATGGCCATCCTGCCTAAAGTAATCTACAGACTCAGTGCAATTCCTATCAAAATATCAAACAGCATTCTTCAATGAACTAGAGAAAATCATTCTAAAATTCATATGGAACCACGAAAGACCCCGAATAGCCGAAGCAATCCTGAGAAGGAAGAATGAAGCTGGGGGAATTATGCTCCCCAACTTCAAGCTCTACTACAAAACCACAGTAATCAAGACAATTTGGTGCTGGCACAAGAACAGACCCAAAGACCAACAGAACAGACTATAGAGCCCAGATATAAACCCAAGCATATATGGTCAATCAATATACAATAAAGGAGCCATGGATATACAATGGGGAAATGACAGCCTCTTCAACTGCTGGTGTTGGCAAAACTGGACAGCTACATGTAAGAGGATGAAACTTGATTACTGTCTAAACCCATAAACAAAAGTAAACTCAAAATGGATCAAAGCCCTGAATGTAAATCATGAAACTATAAAACCCTTAGAAGAAAATACATGCAAAAATCTCTTGAATATAAACATGAGCAACTTTTTCCTGAACACATCTCCTCAGGCAAGGGAAACAATATTAAAAATTAGCAAATGGGACTATATCATAATAAAAAAGCTTCTGTACAGCAAAGGACACCATCAGCAGAACAAAAAGCCATCCTACAGTATGACAGAATATATTTGTAAATGACATATCCAACAAGGGGTTAACATCCAAAGTATATAAAAAACTCACAGGCCACAATATACAAAAATCAAATAACCCTATTAAAAAATGGGCAGAGGATATGAACAGACACTTCTCCAAAGAAGAAATTCAGATGGCCAACAGGCACATGAAAAGATGCTCCACATCACTAATTATCAGGGAAATGCAAATTAAAACCACAATGAGATATTACCTCACACCAGTTTGGAGGGCCAACGTAGAAAAGACTAGAAACAACAAATGCTGGTGAGGATGCGGAGAAAGGACGACCCTCCTACACTGCTGGTGGGAATGTAAATTAGTTCAACCATTGTGGAAAGCAGTATGGAGGTTCCTCAAAAAACTCAAAATAGAAATACCATTTGACCCAGGAATTCCACTCCTAGGAATTTACCCTAAGAATGCAGGAGCCCAGACTCAAAAAGACATCTGCACCCCTATGTTTATCTCAGCACTATTTACAACAGCCAAGAAATGGAAGCAACCTAAGTGTCCATCAGTAGATGAATAGATAAACAAGATGTGGCACATATACACAATGGAATATTATTCAGCCATAAGAAGAAAACAAATCCTACCATTTGCAACAACATGGACAGAGCTAGAGGGTATTATGCTCAGTGAAATAAGCCAGGCAGAGAAAGACAAGTAGCAAATGATTTCACTCATCTGTGGAGTATAAGAACAAAGCAAAAACTGAAGAACAAAACAGCAGCAGAATCACAGAACCCAAGAATGGACTAATAGTTACCAAAGGGAAAGGGACTAGGGAGGGTGGGTGAGAAGGGAGGGAGAAGGGGAATAAGGGGCATTATGATTAGCACACATAACATGGATGGGGGGCACAGGGAAGGCAGAATAGCACACAGAAGACAAGTGGTGACTATAGCATCTTACTATGCTGATGGACAGAGACTATAATGGGGTATGTGGTAGGGACTTGATAATGGAGGGAATCTAGTAACCACAATGTTGCTCATGTGATTGTATATTAATGATACCAAAATGAAAAAAAAAAGAAAAAGTAACACACATCTAAGTTCAAGTCTCTCACTAGTGATATGTGTGAAGGTACTAATCTCAGAGTACTTACTTAACAAGATTGCATATCAGAATAAAAGAGAATGCCTAGCAAGAGCAAACAGCTTGTAAGTGCTAAGTTTCCTGTACAGAGAGGCAGAATTTAACACTTACCCAAAGGAAGGCAGGACTCTACGAGGCTGATCTCGGGTTACTGTCACTCTGATCTTTGGATAGTCGCTTATTCCATTAGGAGATTTATTACCTGTTTTTAAAATGCATTTGTAATTGTAAAACAAAAACCTGTGAGCAGTGTGCATTAGAAAAGAAAATCTGTGAGCAGTTTACACTGTAGAGCTAAATCTTATTCTTTCAAATACTAAAATAATACAGCACAGAGATTCAGCAAGAACTTTGTAAAAGTTCAAGGAAAAGCAATAGTGCTTAGATTGTCTTTGATCTCCGATAGGCAGTAACAATTCATAGGCAACCTTCCCTAGTTTGCTTGCTGAAACCAAGAACTCAATGAATACAAACTCTCTGTGGTCTAATCAAATAGAGTAAATTGTTCAAATTGTTTCTTCTTCCCAAGAAAACTGAAGTATTTTTAAACGAAAACCTGCCATATGTTACCACATTTCACTAAAAGCCTCCAACACTTATGATAGTTACTATACTTCAGAAAAGAGTAACCAAACTTCCATCAGCCACACTGTATGCTAGAACTGCTTACTACAAGAGTGTTGACTCCCCAAGGAATCCAAAATATAAAGTAGTCAGTAGCACCAAAACCTACACTGACCTGAATTCACTTGTTTGCAAAACCTGGTCTGAATCAATGTTCAATCCCAATGGGTTTTTTAAAGTAATATTCAATGAACACAGTATATCTAAAATTTGAAAAAATCTGAATTTCTAAACACATCACCAGGGTTTCAGATTAAGAGATTAAGAGATTGTGGACTTCTTTATACAAAAAACCTGCCCTAGGAATCTGACTATATTTCTATATTCTAGTATTCTATATTTATTCTAGTATTTATAGTATTTATTACTTATAGTATATACTATAGTATCTATATTATAGTAATAGTATTACATATACTATCAGACTTCATTTCTGATAGTAACCCACAGAAATATAGTGCTGGTAACTCAGGCACAAGATAAATCTACCATCCCTTCCATATGCCAGTTCTAATGGTAAAAAATTTTAACATTTATATATTTAAACAATATGAATAGATTATAAAATCAAATGTGTATTAACTTTTAAAATGAAATGAAAGTCTTCAAAGAACTCTATCATCTTTGTTCCAGGTCCTTTGGAACTAGATTCTCAGGCTCAGGGGCAGGCATGTGTTTTCCTTTGCTCTTGTCTGACACCAGAGGTAATTTACTATAAAAGTTTGGGAAGCACTACTCTCTGGTTTTTATAATTTCCTTAGCTTCTTCCACTTTTGCCTTCTAAACCCACAACTTCCCCTAACAGCTTTTTCCCTTCCTCCCAAACTTTAAAAGCCTACCTGAATGGCAGAGATCATAACCATTTCAGGACTCTGGCTCTTCCTATTTTTCCCACCATAGCATTTCCTACAGTACATACAATAATTACAGTTCAGTTTCAGGGTCTAAGGATGATATGGAGGTTTCTAATCCAAAAAAGTAGGAGAACTGGGAACTAAGTTTGCTCCCTAATCAGATGCTGTCCTTCAAAGGCAGGTTTTATTATTTTGTTATTTGTTATTTTGTTATTCCTGCTAACTTAGCATATGCTTAGCACAGAGTAGGCTCTCGGGAGAGAAAGCCTGTTTTCATTTTTTGATTTTTAAATGAATGAACCCTGATCTAAGTCATATTAAGGACACTGATAATACAAATAGAAAATACAACAGTAAATTCAAAGACAATTCTAAAGGAACGTTATTTACTTTTTAGAATGGTAGAGAAAATGAGTCTGTGTTCTCATCCCAACCCAAATCAGTGTTTTCCTTCCAAAAGAGGCAGAAGGAGGTAGGGAGAAGCAGAAATACTTTTGACCACCTCACCCAGTTTCAGCATGTTGTTCCAGGATCCAGAACCTGTCAGTTCACAAGATGAAGAGTCCGACAATACCTTAAAATCAAACAGAATCACCTCTATAGTATCTAAATTTTAGAATTTAAATGTTTTTAATATAGAAAAAACCCTACTCTATTGGTGATTATTTTGCTAGCCATCAGTAAGACTAAAGATTTAATATATGAGAACTCACAAAATGAGGTAAAAAAGAACAATTTCAGGTTCTTCACACAAACTCAAATAAGGAAAGCAGGTATGTTGCAATTAGGCTCTTTACAAATATTTTTTAAATGTGTAATTTCTTAATCTTTAATTTCTTGGCCTTTATATTCAAGCTAATAAAGATAACATTTCTGAAAGGAAATCATTCTACCTACTAACTCCTAAAAAGAGAGTAATTCTAAAATTAAACTTTAGTGATTAAGTATAAAAAATTAGTAGCCCCACTGGAGCCCTATCCCCACTGACCTCGCCTGAAGGGGCGACATTCCGTGTTCCATTAAAAGCAGAGGTTACCATGGGCTTTGTGGTCAGCTGGAATGGGAATCCAAGTAAGCTGGCAGCATTGTAGAGGCTGTTTTTCACTTGGTGAATAAAACAATCTAGAAAGTGCAATATAGTTTACATATAGATTATATATACATATAAATATTACATAGTCAATTTCTTGCAAAAAAATAAGAAAAATAGAACAGGCCTTTCTCAATTTTTATAAGGAGTCCCACTATCAACCATTGAGATAAAAAGCTTTCTGTAAAAATAACTCCTGAAAACTGGATTTGCAGCATTGCGATTTTTGGTTTTTTAGCAAAATATCTGGAATGCTATTAAAACATGAAACCATCACTTTAGCAAATCAGATACTGATTAGCAAAACAATGTCCTAAAATGACAACTTACAATGAGTTTTCCAGAATATATAAAATATATCTTTACAAAAGAGATAGGGGCCTAACAACCTGGAGCACACAGTCAACTAGGTATGATGGGAATTGCACAGGAAGCACTATCATTTATTCATTCACTTTCTGGTTTGTTCTTCCTTCCTAAGCAGGTAACAACATGGCTGTCCTAAACAACTACTTACTAAGTGTCTATTATATCCTGGCTATGCCCAGAGCAGAAATTAGTGAAGTATAAGACATGGAAGACTTGAAACTCATCCCTCCCTGCCACCAAAAATAAAGATTACAAAATAAGTAAGTAAATAAACAAGGGGGAAAAGTAGATTTCAGTGCTTTCCCCACTTCCTCCTTTTACACTACCCCTTTTCTCACTTCCTACACTGCTATTTGCTTTCTACAATTTCCTTTCTACTTCCTAACTAAGAGCATTCTAAAAGCACTAGTCTGAAAGAAAGAAACCATCATCTCAGCCACATTCTGTTTTAGAGAAAAGAAGCTTGAATTGAAATGGTGTCTTTTAAGCAACAAACACTCCAGAAGATATAAGATACAAAGAATTTCCAGGTATAAATGTAAAAAGTTCCAGAAAGGTAGGGAAATAACAAACAATGGAGAGGATGTGATAGCTGGGTAAAGCAGAATCCAATATGAAGTAATCTGTACTAGAGAATAATTAAAAGTACCAATGGTTGCAAATGACTTGTTTCTAATTTTAGGAATTAGAGGATTCCATCCAGGTTATCCCTCTAACTATATTGAGAGATATTACTTACATTCTACTGTGCTTTCTTAAGTAGGAGAAAAAAAGCTTCTTGGATAGGTGCTTAACCCAGACTGCCATCCTGACCCCAGAGGGCAAAAGTACTCTTAATAACATAGTTAGATAGTAGATGTTAAGAAGCACTGTAGTATTTATTTTCCTACAAATTTTGTCAAAATCTGAATATTCCCCAAGATCATGCCAGAAGACTTCACTGACTTAAAAAAAAAAACACAAAGGAAGATGTGCTTCAATAAGACCACCTTATTTTTCTCAGACCAAACTAGATATTTTACAATCTCTTTCACATGTATGATCAGGAGTCTGTGACTCTAAGGTCCTCCTTCTTTTTTTACCCTTCCTTTTCTTCTTTCAAAAACAATCAATTGAGTTGTTCTGGCTAATATAGTAGCCAATGGCCACAAATAGTTACCTTAACTTAAAATTAATTTATAAAATTCAGTTATAAATTAATATAAAAAAGTACTCAACAAAATACTAGCAAACCAAATTCAACAATATACCAAAAGAATCATCCACCACCACAAAGTGGGATTTATTCCAGGGACACAGGATGGTACGATATTCATAAATCAACATGATATACCACATTAATAAAAGGAAGGATAAAAACCATATGATCATCTCAATATATGCAGAAAAAGCATTTCACAAAATTCAACATCCATTCATGATAAAAACTCAACAAAATAGGTATAAAGGGAACATACCTCAACATAATAAAGACCATATATGACAAACCCACAGCTAACATCATATTCAATGGTGAAAAGCTGACAGCTTTTCGTCTAAGATCAGGAACAAAACAAGGATACCCACTCCCAACACTTTTATTCAACATAGTACTGGCAGTCCTAGTGAGGGCATTTAGACAAGATAAAGAGATAAAAGACATCCAAATTGGTAAGAAAGATGTAAAACTGTCACTATTTCAGATGACATAATATTATATAATATAAAACCCTAAAGACTCCACCAAAAAACTGTTAGAGCTTATAACTGGATTCAGCAAAGTTTCAGGACACAAAATTAATACACAGAAATCTGTTGCATTCTCATATACTAATAACAAACTAGCAGAAAGAGAAATCAATTTACAAATTGCAACAAAAAGAATAAAATACCTAAGACTAAACCTAACCAGGGAGGTGAAAGACCTGTACTCTGAAAACTATAAGACAGCCATGAGACAAATTAAAGATGACACAAATAAATGGAAACCTATCTCACACTCATAGATTTGAAGAATGAATATTGTCAAAATGGCCATCCTGCTCAAAGCAATTTACAAATTCAGTACAATCCCTATCAAAATACAAACAGCAATTTTCAGTGAACTAGCATAAATAATCCTAAAATTCAGATGGAACCACAAAAGACCCTAAATAGCCAAAGCAATCCTGAGAACAAAGCTGTGGGTATTATGCTCCCTGACTTCAAGCTATACTACAAAGCTACAATAATAAAAACACTACAGTACTGGGACCATTCATAGATTAATGGAATAGAATAGAGAGCCCAGAAATAAGCCTATGCACATATGGTCAGTTAATGTATGACAAAGAAGTCAAGAATATATAACGGGGAAATAAGGTTTCAATTATCTTTAATAAGTGTTCAAAAAGGAAGACAGCTACATGCAAGAGAATGAAACTAATTCCACACATAAAAGTAAACTCGAAATGGATTAAAGCCCTAAATATAGGTCATGAAACCACAAAACTCTTAGAGGAAAGCATAGGCAAAAGTCTCTTGAACATAAGCATCATCGATTTTTTTCAGGACACAAGGGAAACAAAGCAAAACTAGACAAGTGGAACAACATCAAACTAAAAATCTTCTATACAGCAAGGACACCATCAACAGAACCAAAAGGCAACCTACAGTATAGAAGAATATATTCATAAAAGATTTATCCAGGAAAGGGTTAACATTCAAAATATATAAATAACTCATTTGCCTCAACACCGAAAAAGCAAATAACCCAATTAAAAATGGGCAGAGGACCTGAACATTTTTTCAAAGAAAAAGTACAGATGGCCAACAAGTGTACAAAAAGATGCTCCACATCACTATTCATCAGGCAAATGCAAATCAAAACCACAATGAGATATCACCTTACACCAGTGAGAATGGCCATTATCCAAAAGACAAGAAATAACAAGTGTTGACAAGGATATGGAGAAAAGGGAACTATCCTACAACTGTTGGCGGGAATGGCAATTAGTGCAGCTGCTATGGAAAGTAATGTGGAGGTTCCTCAAAAAACGTAAAATAGAAATACCACACAACCCAGTAACTGCACTTCTAAGAATTTACCCAAAGAAAAAAATAATCTCTGATTCAAAAAGATATATGCACTCCTATGTCTACTGCTACATTATGGACAACAGTCAAGATATAGAAGCAACCAAAGTGTCCATCAACAGATGAATGGATAAAGAAGATGTGGTACATACACGTGATGAAATATTAGTCAGCCAAAAAAAATAAAGAAATCTCACTATTTGCAACAACATGGATATGGATGGACCTAGAGGGTATTATGCTCAGTGAAGCAAGCCAGGCGGAGAAAGATAAATACCATATGATTTCACTTATTTGTGAAATCTAAAGACAAAATGAACAGAAGTAGACTCAGAGACACTGGGAAGTAACTGGTGGTTACCATGGGGGAAGGGTTGGGGTGGGTGGGTAGGGAGGGTGAAGGGGATAAAAGGGCACAAAAATCACAATCATAATATAAACTGGTCATGGGGATGAAAGTGCAGCATGAAAAAAAAAGCCAATGGTTCTGTAACATCTTTATATGTTCACAGTAACTGCAGTAATTGGGGTGAGATTTAATAATGTCTGTAACTGTTGAACCACTGTGTCATATACTTGAAACCAATGTAATAGTGTGTATCAACTATATTTCAATTTTAAAAATTAGTCAATTAATTAAATTCAGTTCCTCAGTCACTCAAGCCCCATTTCAAGTGCTCAACGATGATCACTCAGCCAAAAAAAATAAAGAAATTCCACCATTTGCAAAAACATGGATGCAGAGGTGGTTGCATGGATGCAACAGCATGTTGTTGCAGAGAGTTCTATTGGATGCACTGCTACAGATCTTTACAAACTCTGCCAATAAGTGCTTTCTGCTACCCACTGCTTCCCCCTTAGCTTAGGTTCCCTTCTACAGTTTACATTCAGAAAATCGTAATACATTTTCGATGAAAATTACAGGAGAGATCCTTAATATCAAAGACCTTAAAATACATGATTATCATAATAATTTCAGGAACTTTCTGTAATACCACCATCAAATAACTGTTTTACCAGTTTTATTTATATTTACTTTAAAACTGACTCACTTTTTTTGCTAAATAAATATATTTGAAAGGTATTTTTGTATTGCTACTGTAAAGCAACATCATTTGTTTTACAAAGAAATGAAAACAACACAATATTAAGTTCTAGCAGTAACTGTTAAGAGAGGGGAGATTCACATGTATTAGGACAAGTATTGAAGACATACTAGCATTAAGTCAAGATTTTCTGCTTGAAATAATCAGAGAATTAAAAATAACTTTTTAAGTATATAACAATTCAAATGTTACTTAATGCTAGGAAATAGTATCCCCTAAAATCTTTTCCAAATAGGCATCTATCCTAGGCTGTGGTAAATACCATCCTAATGAATTTAGTGTAAATTCTGTCATTCAAAGTCCTCTATAATTTGACCTATACTCTCTAGGCAACTTTTGCCCTGAGATTCATTAACTATTTCCTGACTTGCACTTTCTCATACTGTACCATCTGCCTAGAATGCCTTGCCTTCCTTCCTATTGCTCTCTGTTGATATCCTATCCATCCTCAAAGACCCTTCTCACATACCAGCTCCTCAACCAGCTGAAAAGGACAGTATTTTACTGCCTTTTAAATTCCATTTTTCTTAGCCTCAGTGACATTAGTATTATTATGTGCTTGTCTTATACACTCTAGTATATAATCATATACCTCTTTAACTGTAAGGTCCTTAAAAATAGAAACTCTATGCTACTCATTTTTGTATTTCCTGTAGAACCTAATACAATGCTTAGCAATAAGAAACGCTCAGTAAGTACTCACTGGATTTAAATGAAATCTTAACACAATGTCCATTCTTAAGGTAGATCCAAATTCAATTCATTTTTGAGGAGGAAAATATAGCATTCCATTGTGCCTTTTCCCTTTATTGTAGTCTAGTTTTATTCTCTTCTACCAAACTACATCTAGCCCTTCATTAAATTGGTTCACTAAGCTATCTGAAATAGATGACTCAGTTTAAAGTTATTTTTACAATGTTGTCTCCACAAAAATAAAAAGCATCTTTTCTTTATAGGAAGATCAGAATTTTAACATGCACATCCAACATACTGGCTTGCTTACCTGGAAAGATATTTAAGTCCCTGGTAAGAGTGATCACCTCTAGACAAGTTAACTGAGTAGAAGAGAGATAGGAAAGAGACTTTTCACTACATATACTTTTTACCTTTTGAATTTTGTTCCGTGCATATTTTTCCTATTAAAACTAATTTTTAAAATTAATAGTCAATACCTAATCTTGGTCTTTTGGCTGGTATTTCATCAGTGTCCACTGTAGAAAACAGAGTGCTGAAAAGAGAAGGGAAAAAATGTATATATATTTACTGGTAACATACATATCCATTTCTATAAATAAACTTATTCATACAACACTCACCCCTTCATCCACTCTGCCATAAACGAGATCTAACTGATGTTTTAAAAGAGAATGCTACTCAATAGAAGGCCATTAGCATTTGAGGACTTAACATTATGGCTTCAACTATTTGCAAGAAACCCAAAACTCCCTATCATATCTGTAACCCAGCTAAAGTAGAAACTTGAAACTGGCCAGAATTCACGTTGTGAGTAAATAGGTAAGAGCCTAGGACTAGTATTTCCTTTTTCTCTCCATAAACTATTTAAAAAACAACAAATAATTTCCTTTTGAAAGCTCACACACAAACACACACAAAGCCATTTTCTACTTCAGGTTGAAGTAGACAATATAAGCCTTAAAAAGATAGTTCTCAGCCAAAAAGGCCGTTACATTTAACTGCATTTTTCTCATGGAACCTGGATTATAGTAGTAATAAAGAATTTGGGGATTCAGTAAAGTTTCTGTACCTATACCTCAAGAGTTGTTGTAAACTCATGGCGTATCACTAATCTTTCTAGATGATTATAACTGATCATATTTACAAAACAAAAAGTGAACACAGGGGGTGGAGTCAAGATGGCAGCGTGAGTACAGCAGCAGCAATCTCCTCCCAAAACCACATATATCTATGAAAATATAACAAAGACAACTCTTCCTAAAATTCAGACCAGAGGACACAGGACAACATCCAGAACACATCCACACCTGCAAGAACCCAGGGCCTTGTGAAGTGGGTAAGATACAAGCCCCGGCCCGGAGGGACCCGAGCGCCCCTCCCCCCCCAGCTCCCAGCAGGAGGAGAGGAGTCAGCAGGGAGGGAGAGGAAGCCCAGGCCTGCTGAACACCCAGCCCCAGCCATCCGGACCAGAGCACAGACACAGTGCATGCACGGGGCCCAGGATACTAGGGAAACAGGGAGGCAGGACGGTGGGTGGGTGCCTGAGGCCAACGCTGGAGAACAAAGAAACAGGAGCAGCCTTTTTTTTTTTTTTTTT